CCCTCCGGCTGCCTACCCCCCCGACCCCCCCTTGTTACTTCTCCCGACTAACGGATCGCGACGCTACGCTCGCTTTCCGTCATCTGGGCGCAAGGCTGCCTACCCCCCCCACACCCCCTTGTTATTTCTCCCGACTAACGGATCGCGACGCTACGCGCGCTTTCCGTCTTCTGGAGGTCCGGCTGCATACCCCCCCACACACACCCGTGTCATTTCTCCCGACTAACGGATCGCGACGCTACGCGCGCTTTCTGTCATCTGAGGCTACTCCTGCCTACCGCCCAACACCCTCCCTCGTCTTTACTCCCGACTGACGCATCGCGACGCTACGCGCGCTTCCCGTCGTCCGCCGCCCTCTGCTGGCTTGCCACAGGGGTGCCTGGCATGCTAAATCATATACGGCGTGGTTTGTTTCTTTTCCAGAACGCTTCGGCCCAGCGCGCGCCGGCCACCCGGAAAGCTCCGGGCGAGGTGGTCGCAAAGAACTTTCCCTGCTCCAAATGGTTCCAAGATGGCCCAAGATGGCCTCCAAGACGGCCAGATGGCCTCCAAGTTCGCCCATTGGTCCCATTTGGACGGCCCGAGAGAGTCCAAGATGCCTCCAAGTACACTCAAGAAGCCCCCAAGACGGCCCCAAAGATACCAAAATCGTTCATTGTCCTATGGTTTTGGAAGGATGCTGGCACTTGCTTCTTTTCGGTCTTACGACGGCCCGAGACGGCCCCAGAGCGCCCCAAAGGTCTCCAAGATGGCCCCAGAACGGCCCAAGAGGCCCCCCAGACAGCCCCAAGAGGGCCTCAAGACGGCCCAAGAAAGAGGCCTCCAAGATGGCCCTAGAACACCCCAAGAGGGCCCCAAGTCGGTTTAGAGAGCCATCCAAGACGATTTCCGACGGCGTCAGATGGGCCAGGAACGCCCTAAGACGGCCCAAGAGGCCCCCGAGAGGCCCCAAGAGGCCCCACAAGGCCCCCAAAAGGCCCCAAAAGTCCTCCTCCTCCTCCTCCTCCGCCTCCTCCTCCTTCTCCTCCTCCTCCTCCTCCGCCTCCTCCTCCTTCTCCTCCTCCTCCTCCTTCTCCTCCTCTATCTCAAATGTTCCTCCCTCTCCTCCGCTTCTTCTTTCTCCCCCGCGTGTTCACCGAAGGGCTTCCACAACAGCAGGGAGAACACATGGTCTGATAACTTGGCACCGCTCTGGTCACAGCGTTCGGCCACGTGGGGATTCCAAAATGTAGGGGGCGGCGGTGATTGGCCGTAGGCGTCTTCGATAGGTGGGTTGGGAAATTGTATTCCAAGCTCCGGAGCGATGCGTATGAGGGGTGTGCCACAATTGGCCAACCAACCCACTAACCAACCAACCAACCGACCAACCAACCAACAAATCCATCAACCACTCAATCGGACTGGAAAATATCTTGACCCCGCAACTGGGCAACGACAACGACGACGACGATGATGAAAACGGCGACGACGACGACGAAAACAACGACGACGGAATAGGATGCGATGTGGAATGGGATGCGATGTAATAGATTGGAATGTCTTGAAACAGAACAGAACGGAATGAGAGCACGAGCACCGACAGGTGGCGGTGGCCCCGTTCCGTTCCATTCCAGTCAAATCCATTAGATTCCAATACATTCCTTTCCATTCCATCCCATCCCATCCCATCGTATAGCATCCCATCAGATCCCTTTTCATTCCTCGTCGTCGACATCGTCGTCGTCGCCGTCGTCGCTGCCGTCGTCGTCGTCATCGTCGCTGCCGTCGATATCGTCGTCATCGTCGTCGTCGTCGTCGTTGTCCTCTTTGTCGTCGAACTCGACGTCTTCGTCGTCCTCGTCGTCTCGTCGTCGTCCGTCGTCCGTCGTCCGTCGTCGTCGTCGTCGACGTGGTCATCGTCGGCGGCTTTGCCGCGTGGCAAGTCGAGTTTGCTGTTTTCCTCCACGGCGATGCAACGTTGAGTACAGTAGCACGGTTCTGTTTCGCCTCCACGGTGTTGACACGTGGCGAGTAGAAGTGGAATGATTCGTTGTCGCCCCGACGCTCCCACGAGGCGAGGAGTGGAATTGTGATGTTCCGCCCCGCGGCGTCGCCACGTGAAGAGTACAGTGGAAGAGTATTGTCTGGCTCACAGGCGTTGCCACGTGGCGATTGGATGGGAACTGTGCTCGTCTCTGCCCACGCGGCGTTGCCACCCGACGAGTAGAACGGCATACTCTTTCTTCGCCCACCCCCCCCAGGCGCTACCACGTGGCGAGTGGAGTGGAGTCATATCTGTTGTTCGCCCCCCACCACCACCCCTACCCCCACCCCCACCCCCCCCCGGGCGTTGTCAGATGACAGAAGGAGTAGAATGGAATAGTAGGTGCTCCCCCTTCAGACGTTGCCGCGTGGCGAATCTAGTGGAACAGTAGCTGCTTGCCCTGCGGCGCTGCGATGGGAGGACGCGTAGGACTTCCCGTTCCCGCTGCATTACATTGAAATGGAACTGCACTGCATTGCGATGGATTACATTGGCATTGAATTGCGTTTGCATTGCGCTGCAGTGCAGCGCGTTGCTTCGCATTGCACTGGCAATTGCACGAGAATTCGTTCGCAGAAGAGCCGAATTTGAGTTGACCATCAACAGTCTCAGACACCAGCCAACCAACCAGCCAACCAACCAACGAACCAACGAACCAACCAACCAACCAATCAATCACTTCTGTGGCACTTTTGAGGGTTTCCCGCACCGTGCGGAGCTCAGATTCGATTTTGTTGACCCAGCAGCCAGCCAGCCAACCAACCAGGCGACCACTCCAGAAGTATACGTTTTGACCTGGCATCCAGCCAGCCAGCCAACCAACCAGCCAATCAATACTTTGGGTCGTTTTGTTGAGGACGTCCCACACGGCGGTCCCTGGAACAAATCCGCCGGCCCCCTTGTGGGACCACCAGGCTGCGAGGCGCGTGATTCGCAGTTTCCTGTACCAGTTGTAGTTTGTAGTTTCCAGTGTTACAGTTCTGCTTCTTGCTGGTTACTGTAACTAGTTGACTTCTTGCTGGTTACTGTAACTAATTGATTGACCGCGCGAGGGGGGGGGAGGCCCAAACGGGATTTTTAGCGTCCCCTGGGCGCGTTGTCTGAATTGCTGGGGGGGCTCGAAATCGACACCCCTCACGCAGATCCGCGGGGTCAGGGTCCAAAAACACATGGGATTTGCCACATTTCTGAAATTCGGTGCCACCCCTCACGCAGATCCGCGGGGTCAGGGTCCAAAAACACATGGGATTTGCCACATTTCTGAAATTCGGTGCCACCCCTCACGCAGATCCGCGGGGTCAGGGTCCAAAAACACAGGGGATTTGCCACATTTCTGAAATTCGGTGCCACCCCTCACGCAGATCCGCGGGGTCAGGGTCCAAAAACACATGGGATTTGCCACATTTCTGAAATTCGGTGCCACCCCTCACGCAGATCCGCGGGGTCAGGGTCCAAAAACACATGGGATTTGCCACATTTCTGAAATTCGGTGCCACCCCTCACGCAGATCCGCGGGGTCAGGGTCCAAAAACACATGGGATTTGCCACATTTCTGAAATTCGGTGCCACCCCTCACGCAGATCCGCGGGGTCAGGGTCCAAAAACACAGGGATTTGGCACATTTCTGAAATTCGGTGCCACCCTTCACGCACATCCATCGCAAGGCGTGGTAACCCAAACTGCGAGAACTCCCTCGGCCCTTTAATCGCAAGGTGTGGTAACCAAGCCCGTACACCATACACGTCTTACCAATCGCCAGGTGTGGTAACCCCTCTTGTGATCAGTTGGTTTTGCTGATTGCGAATCGGCTTCGCATGAAGTTTCGATACTGCTTCACAACAGCGCCAAGGCCTCATGACTTAGCTCTTCCATGGCCCATTCTCCGAGAGAGGGGGCCGGCGGCAGGGGGCGAAGCCCTTACGGATTTGCTTGATCCAGAATGCAATGTTCGAACCTGGAAGGAATTGTCTTACACCTACTCCCGTCTGTGGTACCTTTTGGGGCACTGGGGCCCTCTGGACCAGCCGGGCTCGAAAGAATCACGTACAAGGATGAGGCCGTGGTCGAATTTCTTTCCGCGACATCGCGTTTTGATCCTTACCCTCGGATGGTCGGGGCCTGCGGGAGATGCGAGCTGGGGCACGTTCGGCTGCTGTTGGGAAGAATCGTATATGCACTGATGCGTGTGTAACTATACACCCACAAAATAATTAATCACAACACGAACGTTGGCGTACGTCTGCCACCGTGCCTTCAGCACACCGTGGACTGCCCAAGGGCTCGTCTTAAAATCTCGGACGGCACTGGCGTGCGCGCTGCCAAATTCCATGACCTACGGCATTCCGCACCGCGTGGCTCCGGGTGGGTGAACTCGATTGGCACCGCATGAATCTGGGCGTACGAGCTCAAGCTTAACGGGACAGCCATGGTATGATGGGGCACTAGTGAGGTAGCCATAAAAATTAGGATGAGCGTCATTTCTCCGGAGCACCTGAGCTCACCTGGAGAGGCAAGAACAAATAGCGGATCCTAGAATTTCGCGGGACCGCTAAGGTATGAGCGGGTACCGGCGAGGTAGCAAGAAAAATCAGGGCAAAGGTCATTTCTCCGGGGCACCTGGGCTCCCCTGGAGAGGCAAGAACAAATAAGCAGCTTTTGGAACAAACGAGCTGTGGAAGACGAATTCGGGGCCTTGTCTGGGCCTCGTCTGGATGTGACAGAGCCTCTTACCGAAATAACTCTGCCAGCGCGCTGGTAAATTCCCTCGCGTGGCAAACCATCTGACAGGTGTTGCTTTACCCGATTGCAAGTTGGCGCGTGACCAGCATGCGTTGGCAGAGGAGCAGCTCTTCGTTGTGGTTACTCAGCCAGAATGCTGCATTCTACGACATGAAATTAAAGCGATTCACCACAGGGCCTACGGGCTACTCAACGAAGCTGCTCCCGGGTTGCTGCCAACGGAGGTAAGGAGGTGTCATCAAGCCCTGGTAAAGAGGCCCTGCGTCTCTATATCATCAGAGTGGCCGAACTCGCTGAATATCGAAGAACAGTCGCTCTCGCTGACCGACTCAAACATGGCGGACCCGAACGGAGGCAACGTACTCTGCGTGGAGGTCATGGCAGGGCCCTTCTTCGCATCAAACGCAGCACTGAAGTAAGGATGTCCCAAGGCGTCTCTTGCACTGCAGCGCTGGCTCGGCTCGCGCTGAAGAAGATCCCTGCATAAACTGACGCTGTCGTTGCCCCGACTCCGATGCGAAACACTCAAATACCTGGGCGCGGGCACTCCCGACCGGATGGCCGCCACCGCCGCCTTCGAGGTGGCCTCCTCTGGTATGTAGGGCAGCTCTCCGAAGAGCATGAAGTACGCCATCACGCCATAAGACCAGACGTCCGTACCAATGCCATGCCGCGCAGTCAGCATCTCTGGGGACATGAAAGGCGCGGTGCCGCACTCTTGCGCCAGGGTTTGACCAGGAGTCAGCAGGGCAGACAAATTGAAATCGCACAACTTCACCGTGCTCCCATCAAGGCCGATCAAGTAGTTGTCCGGCTTGACATCACGGTGAACCACCGAGGCCCGGTGGCAGGCCTCCAGACCGAGGAGCATCTGGTGCAGGAGGTGCGGGAGCCCGGACTGCAGGAGCTCTGGGTTGGAGTCGGCCTTTTGCGAGACAGTACACTGGCACCTCTCCATGACCATCAAGACGACGCGGCTGTCGCAGAACACCCTGCGAAGCTCCGCAACGCTGGGGTGCCTGCCAACGGCGCGCCACACCTCGACCTCCTGCATGGCGAGCTGCCGCTTCTGGCCCTGGTCTTCGCCCAAATCGACGACCTTGACGGCGCCCATGCTCTGGGAGCTCCTCTCGCGGGTCGCCATCACGATCCCGAAAGACCCCGCGCCGAGCTCCTTGCCCAGCTCGTACTCCGAGGCGAACTGCTCCCTGGCGCCGAGGGCAGGCTCGGGGGCAGCGCCTGCCTGCGTTCTAAGGCTCCTCCTCCTCCTCCTCCTCCTCCTCCTCCTCCTCTCCTCCTCCTCCTCCTCCTCCTCCTCCTCCTCCTCCTCCTCCTCCTCCTCCTCCTCCTCCTCCTCCTCCTCCCTCCTCCTCCTCCTCCTCCTCCTCCTCCTCCTCCTCCTCCTCCTCCTCCTCCTCCTCCTCCTCCTCCTCCTCCTCCTCCTCCTCTCCTCCTCCTCCTCCTCCTCCCTCCCTCCTCCTCCTCCTCCCTCCTCCTCCTCCTCCTCCTCCTCCTACTCCTACTCCTCCCTCCTCTCCTCCTCCTCCTCCTCTCCTCCTCCTCCTCCCTCCCTCCTCCTCCTCCTCCTCCTCCTCCTCCTCCTCCCTCCCTCCCTCCCTCCCTCCCTCCCCCTCCCTCCTCCCTCCCTCCCTCCTCCTCCTCCTCCTCCTCCTCCCTCCTCCCTCCTCCTCCTCTCCCTCCTCCTCCTCCTCCTCCTCCTCCTCCTCCTCCTCCTCCTCCTCCTCCTCCTCCTCCTCCTCCTCCTCCTCCTCCTCCTCCTCCTCCTCCTCCTCCTCCTCCTCATTCCGCGTCTGGGACGACCCCCATGTTGCCACGCCCCTCTCCCCGAGAGGCCTTGCCTGGCCGGTGTGCGAGGCGACGGACTCTGCGCACCCCCTTGCGCGCACGCGGATCGCCCCAACGAGGTTGCTCGCACAGATCCTAGATATGCGGCAAAATCGCCCTCCTGTGCTGAACGCTGTGCAGCCACCAAAACTCGAGCCCACATGGCCGCGGCAAGCGCAAAGAAACTTTTGACAGACCGTTCTGCGGGTCGTCGAGCCCGCCGGACCGAGACGCCGCGGGAGAGCGGGGGAGGAGGAGGAGGAGGAGGAGGAGGAGGAGGAGGAGGAGGAGGAGGAGGAGGAGGAGGAGGAGGAGGAGGAGGCGGCCCCCTGGAGGCGGCGGAGACCAGAAATCAGCCTCGGGGCCCCATGGGGTCGGAGGCTCGCACGGCATCGCCGGTACATCGGCGATGCACCCGCGACGTCGGCGATGCGTCGGCGACGTCGGCGTGGAGAAAGTCGAGCTCCACATCGAGCCGCATCGCCGATGCATCGGTCATGCGGCGCGATCCTCCCACCTCATCTACGCTGACCCCATTTGGGAGGGGTCCTCCTCCTCCTCCTCCTCCTCCTCCTCCTCCTCCTCCTCCTCCTCCTCCTCCTCCTCCTCCTCCTCCTCCTGATGGTTTGGGCAGCACGTCGGCCCCTCGAAGGCCGGGCCCCTGCAGGCGGAGCGCGCTCAGCGCCCCCTGGATCGTCGGGCCGAGCCTCATGGCGACGAGGCTGGCGGCCTCATGGCGGCGGCGGCGGACCTCCAACGGCGGCCGCCTCGCCGCAACCGTCAGTCGTCCGTCGTCCGTCGTCCGTCACCGCTGTCGCCGTCGCCAACGACGACAAGGAAGACGACGACGACGACGACGACGACGACGACGACGACGACGACGAGGAGGAGGAGGAGGACGGAGGAGGAGGGAGGTGAGGAGCATACCTCTTATGCGCCACGTGGAGGCAACGACGCCTTCGCAGGCATGTGCTTGCCACAACTCCTCGTCGCTCTTCGTTGTTGGTCGTCGTCGTCGCCGTCGTCGTCGTCGTCGTCGCCTCCGTCGTCGTCACCGCCGTTGTCGTCGTCGGCGGCGGCGGCGTCGGAGTCGTCGTCGTCGCCGTCGTCGTCGTCGTAGCCGCCGTCATCGTCGCCGTCGTCGCTCGTGGTTGGCCTTTGGTCGCTCGTCGCTAGTCGTTCATCGTCACTGTTGGTCACCGTCGACGTCAGTCGTTCGTCATCTGTGGTCTGCCGCCCGTCGTGGTGTCGTTCGCCTGCATTCATTCACCGTCGACGTTGGCCACCGTCGACGTCAGTCGTTCGTCATCTGTCGTCTGTCGCCCATCATCGTCGTGGGACTCGGTCCTCCGTCGTCCGTCATTCGCCATTCGTCCTTTGCCGTTCGTCGTCATCGTTCGTCGTCTTCGGCCGCCGTCGTCGTCCGTCGCCCGATCGAAATGATCCGCCACCGTACCGCTGGGCACGGAGTGGGCGTGTCCGCCTCCAAGACGCCCCAAGAAGCCTCCAAGGGGCATCCCAAGAGGGCCCAAGAGGCCAAAATCACTGATTTGCTTCGGCGTTTGATGGTTATTGGCGCTCTCGCCTCTTCGGCCTCCCAACGCTTCCAGAAGACCCTGGAGACCCCCGAGACTGCCCCAGGACGGCCCGAGAAGCCTCCAGAGGGGCCCCAAAAAACAGCACGAGAGGACCCGACCCCCAAGGCGGCCCAACAGGCGCCCAAGACGGCCCAGGAGGCCCCGAAGACGGCTCCAAAGGGCCCGGATGGGGACCCCCAGATGGAGGTGTCGAGCCCTCGGCTCAGAGGGGCCCCCAGGAGGGAGGCCCCAGGAGACCCCTGCCTGATGGGCCCCCAAAGAGGCCCCCAAGAGGCCCCTGAGGGGCCCCAGGAGGCCCCCAGGAGACCTCCAAGAGGCTCGCAGGAGGCGCCAAGACTGCCCCCGGGAGGCCCTGGAGAGCGCTCCGAGAAGGATACAAGAAGCATCCCTGAGAACTCTTACCCACAACTCAGGCACAGTGGCGGGATGGGCCGAAGGCCATTAGACATTCAAAAAACCCAAAGGGGGTGTGGCTCAGCGCCGAGTTTTCATGAAGGACAAAAGCTGGAGCACCTTATATGCCGTCAAGAAGGGCGGACTCCAGCACCCGAAGTGCAAGAGGGACCGTGGCTCAAGCAGCCCACGGCGCGGGCGGAAGCACCCAGTATCTTGCCTGGGGACAGCGGGTCCAGCAGATGATGGCGTCAGGGATCAGGAGGGGAAAAAACACACAGACACAATTAATCGTCGATTCCCAGGAAAATATGGGAAAATATGGGAAGTGGGGGGGAAGACAAAAACCCAGAAAATATAGGAAAATATTGGGAATCATTTTATTTGTGTATTTATTTGTGTCCTGGGGCCCCTTCAAGGGAGGGTGTGCCGCAGCACCCCCTTTTTTCCCACGAGGGGCCAGGGCTCTCCGGCGGCCCACGGCGGGGGCTCCGGCACCCGAGGCCGACGCGGAGGGGCCGCTCCAGCAGAGGCATGCCGACGAGACGGCACCAAGGCGAAGATCTGTTTTTGTGGTCGCGCCCGCCTCGCTGGCGGAGCTTGCTCTCAACCACGCGCCGCGCTTCCGTTGGCGGCAAGTTGTTTTTGCATGCATGCACATACGCGACGTTGTCATAATGTTTGGTCCCGTGTTGTGCATGATTTTTTGTTCCGACCCCATGCCGGGCGGCCCGCGCCCCGGCCACGAGCCCTCCTCCGGTCCGTCAGACACGTTTTCGATCCGCGGGTCGAGGGCGCACCTCTTCCGGTCGAGGCTAAGCGGGCCGCGCGAAGCTTGAGTTAACCAGAGACGGGGGGAGGAAAAGGGGGGCGCAGCCTCAGAACGAGGCCGGGGCAGTCCGTCAAACATCTCACCTGCAAAATCTTCCCATAGCTGTACTCTGGCTCTCTCGGTAAGCGTGGATACCCCCCCGACGGGGGTCAACCTCACCTTGTCGTCGCGCCGCGACGGGGGTCGGAGCGCCTTCGGCGCGCGGTGGCCGCCCGCGACGGGGGTCGACGTGGGGCTGTCGGCGGGGGTGACACCCCCCCGACGCTGATTAAGAAACTCGGAGTAGGGGGAGGAGGAGGAGGAGGAGGAGGAGGAGGAGGAGGAGGAGGAGGAGGAGGAGGAGGAGGAGGAGGAGGGGGAAGAGGAGGAGGGGGAGGACATCAGCCGACATTGTCCCAAAATCGCTGCAGGACGGCCACCAGACACCCAACAGTTGCCCAGGACGGCCCCCAGGGGGCCCCCAAAGGCCCCAAGGCGTCCCGAAGGAGGCCCAAGAGGCCTCGGGATGACCCCCAAAGAGATCCCAGAAGCTTCTACAGTCGGGGCGTTGACCTAAGGAACCCTGAATAAGGAACGATGTCCCTTTTTTCCATAAGTTAAACTTCGATTCCCATCGAAAACATAAGGAAAACCTGATGCAAGCTGTGAAACAATCAAGGAACACCGAGCCCCTCCCCAACGAAAAGTGTTCCTTCTTCAGCGCCCCGACTGTAGGGGGCCCCGCGGCAGAGAGCACAGCCGATCATGTGAGATGCCAAGAACAGGCAGGGCTCCGCTGACGTTCGGAGGAGGGGAAGTGAGAAGGAGAAGGCCTTCTCAGAAGGCGGCGGGGCTTCTCAGAGGGCCCTCGGGCCTTCTGAGGAGGTGTCTGAGTTTTCGTGGAAGGCTCAGGAACCTTCTCAGAAGGCCGGGAGCTCCCGAGCCGTCTGAGAAGACCTTCTCCTTCTCACTCCCCCCCCAGGCTCGTCGCCGCCGAGACATGGCTTCGCCCACGGAAAGCGCCCCCCCCCGGATCAGACCCGAGAAAACTGAACCCGCGTCGACACGGACCGCGGCGACGACGGGCGCTTCCAGGCGGCCCGAGCCACAAGAAAGAACGGACACTCGGCGGTGGACATACCTCCCTTTAGTAAACCTCCCCTTAGCGAAAACGGCCTGGGGCCGAAACCGACGGACCTGGACCCGCAAAATGACGGCCGCGACGCCCTCGCGCGAACCGAAAACGGCCAATTCCTTAATCGACGTGTCAAGGTAGGAGGTCTGGGCACCTCCGAGACACGTGAGCGAAGGGTGCTGTGCAAAGAGACGGGCCACGACGGGCCGGGCCTGCACGTACAGCCCGAACAGCGGCATGGCTCGTGCGGGGCCACCCGCGCGGCGGCCCAGCCAAGGCCAGCACTCCGGCGGCCCGGGCCGCAGTCTGAGCCCGTCGCGGCCGCGGCGCCAGGGGGGGGGGGCGGGGCCGAGGAGACCATCGGACGGGTGCCAAGGGAAGGGAGGAAGAGGAGCTGGAGACTGCCACGGTGCCCACCAGTCCGCGGTCCTCCGAGAGAGTGGGCAGGGGAGGGGGCAGGCGACGGAGGGGAGGGAGAAGGGGGGGGGAAGGCGGGGGAGGGGAGGGGGAGGGGCAGAGGATCAGATTGGTGAGTGCCACAGGAGTCTCACGAGGGAGGAGTCCGAGCAACCGCGGCATATATATATAATAAATAAATAAACAAATATAAATAAATAAATAAATAAATAAAGGGCGGGTTTTCTCGAGCGGACCGAGACGAGGCCCTGCCGCTGAGCAGGGCTCCCCCCCTTACTCGCTCTCTGCGGTGCAGGCGCACAGGCGCACTTCTGCACAGATCTGCCCGTGCATGCACATGCACACGTACAGGTGCACACCTGATGCCGGCGCGCGGGCCCCGAACTCTGGGCTGCTGCACTCCCCACGCGCACACTGCACGGCCACCAGAGGGCACGAGACGCAGAGCACCAGCCACCGGGAACCAACAGGGGCATCTAGCCGTCGGGCACCAGCCATAGGTGCGGGACGGGAAAAGGACCACAGCCACTGCTTCTTGGTTGCGCCGCCTTCTAGCCGGCCGAAAAAGAAGCCGTGGTCGTGGTCATCTCCCTGGTGCCAAGCTCGACGAAAATGACCACAGCCACTGCTCTGTTTCTGCGCGCTGGAAGGCGGCAACAGAAGACAAGCAGTGGCTGTGGTCGTTTTCACGCCCCGCACACAGGGCACCAGCCGGTCGAGCACCAATTGCCCGAGGCCGACCGCAGCACACGGGGCACCCGGGCAGGGGACACCAGCCCATCGTACGCCACCAGCGCGCCAACGGCCGACTGCGACACGGGGGGCAAGTCCCCCAGACGCCAAGCAAAAGCTCCTGCGTGCAGGCCCTGCTCAGCGAGCGCACCAGAACCGCTGGCGCGGTTGCGGCCGGTGCCCGAGGGCATTGGTGGTTCACTGTGCAGAGAACCTCTCGCGCATACAGAATCATGTCTACATCTCCGCTCCTATTCTCCCTTCCAGTACCCTTTTTTATCCTGCTGCCTCAATTGCGTCCACCGCCTCTCCTTCCAGAATCGGTGGGAACCTGCTGAGACCACCTTGGGCTGAAATGAAGAAACAGGGGCGCGGAAATCCTTGAAACCATATCTTAGGTGTGCTGGCGTCCAGCTGGTTTCGAATAGCGTGGGGCTCGCACGAGGTTTGGTGCGTCTGGGAGCCTCCTGCTTCATGGGGTCTCTTCGGTCGCCTGGAGCACAGCGTGAGGCTCTCTTGGGTTGGCATAGTACCTCCTCGTCACTCGTTGCTCGTGCTGGGAAGCGCCAGGACAAAGCATCACACTTCACGACTTCACGGTGACGCACCGCACGGCGACGTGCTGCAAGGCAAACGCATACACAAGCATGGCCGTAAACACATGGGCAAAACTAAACGCCTTCTTCTCAGCCGTCATCACCCTCCATCTCCTCCTGTCCACAACCTGCTCGTATTCCACATCCTCTTGCTTCCGCCGCGCACCAACACCGCGTCTTTTTACAATCACGGGATGGCACGGCGATAAGCAGAGAGCAAGAAATGTCACGCTGAGGAACAAGGTAAATCTCGAGAACGTGCCCCAACTATGCCTCAAAAGATCAGGAGAGGCTTTCAGTTGGAGGGCGTTCACAGGGTTTTTGGAACCCCTGGTGGGCACAGCAGAGCAGGATGGTAGAAACGTTGAGACATGTATTGGTTTCGAGTATATATCATCCCTCTCAAGTGTGCCTCCTTCTAACTGTGCTCCTGGCTGGGGCTCTGTCAGGCCGTCGTGGAGGCCGACATGGGAGGGGGCAATGCTGACTTCCTCGAAATTCCATTCTCAGCTGTTTTGGGGCGTCTTGCAGCTGTACGTGGACGTTCGGGACACATCTGAGGGCCCGCTTGGACTGTCTTGGGGTTCGTTCCACCATCATGGAGAGCCTGTTGGAACCTTCTCGGCATGCTGGGGCCTTTTGGGCAGTATCAGGCCCCGCTCGGGGCCGTCCTGAGACCCTCTTGGGTTATCTCGGGCCTCCTCCTCCCTTTCCTCCTCTTCCTCCTCCTCCTCCTCCGCCTCCTCCTCCTCCTCCTCCTCCTCCTCATCATCATCATCATCCTCATCCTCCTCCTCCTCCAGGCCCCGATCGGACGATGCTCACACCCGATGACCAGTCCCCCCAGGTCGTTGCCCCTGGTCCCCCGTCTTCCTCCTCCTCCTCCTCCTTTTCCTCCTCATCCTCCCCATCCTTTTCCTCTTCCACATCCTCCACCTGCTCCTCCGTCTCCTCCACCTCCTCCTCCTCCTCCTCTTCCTCCTCCTCCTCCTGCTGCTCCTCCTCCTCCTCCTCCACCTCCTCCTCCGCCTCCTCCTTTTTCTTTTCCTCCTCCTCCTCCTCCTCCTCCTCCTCCGCTCCTCCTTGTCCTCCTCCCCCTGCTCCTCCTCCTCCTCCTCTTCCTCCTCCTGTCCTCCTCCTCTTCCTCCTCATCATCCTCCTCCTCATCCGCCTCCTCGTCCGCCTCCTGACCTTCCTCCTCCTCCTCCCGCTCCTCCTCATGCTCCTCCTCCTCCTCCTCCTCCTCCTCCTGTTCGTCCTCCTCCTCCCCATCATCTTCGTCAAGATCACACCATCCACATCACCATCACCACTACCACAATCATCATCACCATCACCACCAACACCATCACGGTCATCGTCATCACCGCCATCATCGTTAACATCCTCATCACCCTCATAATTAATCAGGCGCATCATCATGATAGCCATTTTCATCAGCAACCACATCGTTACCATAATCATCCGCATACTCGTTTTCCTTCGTCGCAATCACGATCACCATCACCACCATCACCATCACCACCACCACCAACACCATCAGCGCCATCGCCATCACCATCATCCCCACCATCCGCATCATCGCCATCATGGTGTCACCAGCAAAATTCTCAGCGGCACCATCACAATCACCATCATCACCAATATCACCACCACCATCACCATCGTTATCAGCCCTACCACTACCACCGTCATCGCCATCCTCATCAGCACCAAATGCGGCAGCAGCACCCTCATCACCATCAGCAACATCACCATCATCAGCACCAGCATCACCATCGTCGCCATCAGCGAATTCAGCAGCAACACCAGCAATACCACCATCATCATCAGCAACAGCATCATCATCGTCATCACCATCATCATCATAGCCACTATCGCCATCAAGCACATATCCACCAATATAACCATCATCTGCAGCAGCAGCACCATCACCACTACCACAATCACCACCACCACCACCAACACCACCATCATCATCAAAATCAGCCTCATCCACAGCATCCCCGTCATCATCATCACCAGCATTGGCAGCATCAGAAAGTAACAGCAGCACCATCGTCATCAGCACCACCAGTCGCATCATCGTCGCCATCGTCATAGTCATCAGCACCATCATCACCAGCAACCGCATAATTATCATGAACACAACGAGCACCATCATCATAAGAATCGCCGCCGCCGCCGGCAACATCATCATCATCAGCATCATCATCAGCATCGCCACCACCGGCGTCAGCATAACCAACAGCACAACCCCAATCACCATCATGATCAGCATCACCATGATCACCATCGTCATCATCATGGTTTCCTCCTCCCGCCGACCAACCCACTGCAAACGAGGATAACGTCACGGGAGTAGATGATCACCCCGCCCACCACGATCCTGGACCTGACGCCCATCACCACCTCCGTCGCCCCTGGCTGGACTTCAGACGCTGTGACGTCGAATAAAACATCGAACGCGCAGTCATGTTTCATCGGATCGTGATACGCAAAGGTTCGAGTCGTCTATTGGTACATGACGTCGGGCCGCTTCTTGAAATACTTGTCGATGGGCTCGACGTTGGTACTCTTGACGCTGATGGCCAGCGATTCCGATCTGGATGCCCAGCGCTCCGAGGTGGTACCCCACGCGCCCACTATACCCTCGAGGCCACTGTGGCGCTTTTGACACCCGAGCCCAATAACTCGGGCAGACACCCCTTTGTCGAAGTCTTGCGTGCTCAGATACTTCGGCTTGTCCATGCAGTCGAGCTAGTTTTGCTGGTGGATCTCGTGGCTCAGGTGGTTGCATGCGTACCTCCACCGCCAGCGATGCTCGCGGCGGTCGTTGCTCAGCTCGTTGGCTAGGTAGCTCAGCGGGCGGTCCTCGCAGCTGCGCTGGTAGCCCTACGAGGTCTGATCGCGGCCCTGGCAGTTCAGCTCGTCGCCCTGGTAGCTCTGAGGGAGGCTCTCGTAGTCCCACCAGCCCTTTGGGCGTGAGTGGTTTAGAGAGCTCTCTCTGTCCTCAACCCCCCTTCTTCCCCTTCGGGGAGGGGTTTACCCCTCCCCCTACCCCCTCCCCCTGGACCTGGAGAGGGAGTCCCGAACGTAGTCAGGAGGGTCTTTTTCGACTCCTGGGAGGGCTAAAAAAACGACGACCCTCACGAGGATTCTGGCCCCGACGGGGGGGGGGAGTTTGGCCCCTCTGCTCGTCTTTGAAGCCAAAATCATTGATTTTACTACGGTTTTGGCCCCATTTGGGCGTCCTGAGGGGGCAGCGCTCCTCTTCCTTCATAGCAAAATTATTGATTTTACGAAGGTTTTGGGTTCATTTTGTCCTTCTCAGGGGGCAGCGCTCATTTGCGCTTCTGAGGAGGTCGCAAGAGGCCCCAAGATGGCCCCAAGAGGCCCCCAGGAGGCTCCCAAGAGGCCTCCAAGAGGCCCCCAAGAGGCCCCCAAGAGGCCCCAAGAGGCCCCCAAGAGGCCCCCAAGAGGCCCCCAAGAGG